ATTAAAATTCAATACTTGTCTGTGAGTTGTTTTGCTTTAAAAATCTATAATAATAGTTTAGCCCCTCATCTTTCACACTGCAACCTTTTAAAAACTCAATGCGACCACTACAACACCCTTTCAACTAGTCAACTTAAGTTGTTTTCCTACATAGAAAATGCTTCACTGTCCCATTGACCCTCTCTGAAAAATTTCCTTTCCTCTCCCCACCCAGACTTCTGACACTTTCATTTGACCTTCACCCCTTTTACTGTCATCCTTTGCAATTTTTTTTTATAATCAAATACATGACATCATGTAAATATTCATTATGTACATTTGCAAAACCTTTCGTTTTCATTTGGTGTTCAAAATTATGTTAAAAAATTTGATGTTGATGTACTTGTTATAATTGCAAATAAAAGAATTTTTTTTTAAAAATAGTTATGTATCTGAATCCCTAATGCTGGGACATCCTATTAAAAAAAAATGTTTAAAAAAATTAAATAAACAAAGTTCAATTTTTAGCGATTGAAAAAAAAAATAAAAATAATAGTTTAGCTGTTTTTTATAATAAAAAAAAATAGTTTCGCTGTCTGTGAATCTATCTGTGTATGTATGTATTTGACAAGAACGCTCTAGATCAAGCAAATTAAAAACATGCATAGTAATTCGAAAAACGAAATATGACGTCGTATTGAGCATAGAGTAGAAAATAATCTCAAGCCGGAGAATGCACACAGTAATATGACGTCGTTGATTCTCGAGTAAACATTGAATAAAAGGGAAATTTTGTCTAATCTAAGTGGTTTGCGTGAAGAGTTTCTTTCATACATTTCTTCGGGTAGGGGCGAAGCCCCACCCCCGCGTAAGAACGTCTGGGCCCCCCCCCTCCCCAACTCAAAAGAAATTTCTTCATCGATACTCTATAATAAAATTACCGCCTAATTAATGTGTCTAATCTAAAAAGTGGTTTTCTTGCAATTTCTTTAATGCAATTCTTCGGGTAGTGGCTAAGCATGACCCCAGTGTTTCATTCAGACTATTTCCTCCCCGGAGGGGGGATCTTTTTCTAATCTAAAAAGTGTTTAGCGTGCAGTTGTTTTTTTTCAAGCATCTCTTCCGGTAGGGGCGAAGCCCCGCCCAGATTCTTCAAGTTTGTATGATCTACAAATGCGACCAGTGTTTCTTTCAGAATTTTTCCTCCCCGGAGAGGGGTGGGGGTACTTGAAATTTTCGGGGGCGGGGGTAGAATTTTCTGGGAGGGGACGGACACTGGAAAAAGTATATAATTATATTTCGTTGAATGGGACGGTAGACATGTTTTGGAGTGTGTGTGTGTGGGGGGGGGGGGAGAGGGGGCGAAGCCCCCTCATCTCAAGTAGAGTTGCCTGAAAGAAACTCTAAATGCGACTTTTGTCATGAATGAGATTAGGTGCATGGTTTATTGATATGCCTATGACTATATTTTGTATAAATTAAAGTACCGAGAAAATAGACAGCACTATCAACCTAGCGCCCGTTGTATCCTTCCTCAACGGGCCATTTTTCTCGTTCTATATAATAGTTTCGCTGTCTGTCTATGTATCTATCTATCTATGTATCTGACAAGAACGCTCTAGAGAAAAACACAAGCAAATTAAAAACATGCATAGTAATTCGAAAAACGAAATATGACGTCGTATTGAGCATAAAGAAGAAAATAATATTAAGCCGGATAGTGCACACTGTAATATGACGTCATTGATTCTCGAGTAAACATTGAATAAAAAGGCAATTTTGTATAATCTAAGTGTTTTGCGTGAAGAGTTTCTTTCATACAATTCTTCGGGTAGGGGCGAAGCCCCACCCCCACGTAAGAACGTCTGAGCCCCCCCCCCCCTCCCCAACTCAAAAGAAATTTCTTCATCGATATTCTATAATAAAATTACCGCCTAATTAATGTGTCTAATCTAAAAAGTGGTTTTCTTGCAATTTCTTTAATGCAATTCTTCGGGTAGTGGCTAAGCGCGACACCAGTGTTTCTTTCAGACTTTTTCCTCCCCGGAGGCGGGAACTTTTTCTAATCTAAAAAGTGTTTAGCTTGCAGTTTTTTTTTTCAAGCATCTCTTCCGGTAGGGGCGAAGCCCCGCCCAGATTCTTCCTTTAGTTTGTATGATCTACAAAAGCGACCAGTGTTTCTTTCAGAATTTTTCCTCCCCGGAGAGGGGTGGGGGTACTTGAAATTTTCGGGGGCGGGGGTAGAATTTTCTGGGAGGGGGCGGACACTGGGAAAAGTATATAATTATATTTCGTTGAATGGGACGGTAGACATGTTTTGGAGTGTGTTTGGGGGGGGGGGGGAGGGGGGGGGGCGAAGCTCCCTCCTCCCAAGTAGAATTGCCTGAAAGAAACTCTTAATGCGACTTTAGTCATGAATGAGATTAGGTGATTGTTTTAGGGATATGCCTATGACTATATTTTGCATTATCAACCTAGCGCCCGTTGTATCCTTCCTCAACGGGCCATTTTTCTCGTAATGGAAATAATTATGTAAAAAATTTATATTTGAAATTTTTAGATCTTGATCTATATGTTGATGTAAGTGATCATAAAAGAAAATTAAAGTTAAATAAAATGGAGTCTTTAAAACAAAAGGAGTAAAACACTAAAAAAAGAACGGCCTAAAAAAAATTATGAATGTTACAACGCTTTTAATTGTATAATGTATGAATTGTATGCTCAAGTAAACCTGCTTGTAATGTGGGGTTTTTTCGCTCGCGTTGAGTAAATCAGTATGAGAGAAAAAAAATAGTCACTGGACCTTTTCCAGACAAACAAAATTTAAAGATAAAAATAAATACTTAGAGATTTTCATATTTAAAAGATATAACTGAAATTAGGTGGTTTGCTGTAACGGGTCATTGTGAGGTCAGATTAAAATAGGTTAGAATAGTCTCGAACTTAGGGGAGAGTGCGTGTGTGAGTTGAGTTCACCCTGCTGTGTAGTAACCCCGGTGTGTTTATGTATTGTTATCCCTAGGTCGAATGCGGGTATAAAAGGGCGAGTGAACGATTGTGGAAGGGCAGTTTAGTTGATACGGGTAGGACGAGGGCTACTCTGGAATGCATATATGTGAGACGGAATAAAAGTAGTGGACGTAGTCACGAAGCGTTGTTGTTTATCTGAAACTAACCTGGACGTAACATTTGCATTATGTATAAGTATACGATTTTCAATTAATGAAATGACTTGTCAGAAAGAAAGGTCTATATTTCAAATATGTATCAGACCCACAAGCCGATGTTGAAATTTTTAATACTAAAGGGAATATGGCAAGACAAACTGATGCTGTTAATTACATGTTTGAGGCACACAAAAAAAGAAAAAAAAATGTCCGTTACATTTATTTATTATACGAAAATGGCAACATACAAAGAAATCAAGCCTATCTATGTACTATTTATTCAGTTATTCAGTAATGATTAATGAAAATTATCACATACATAACAAACTACCTAAGTACCAATACATTAAGTATGGAGCTACGATTAAACGAAAATTGCAAGAAACGGAACAAACTTAGTTACAATACATAAACACTAACGCAGTGGTTCTAACCATTTTGAATGTACCGAACATTTTCTGTTATTTTCATAAGCGTGTCCAACAAACCCTTTATAATAGTTCTATCGTCCGCACTGAGAAAACCCGATCGTGAATCACAAGAGTCGGGTGTGTGTCTTGACCTCCACCGAACCCCTGACACTGACTTACCGAACCATTAGGGTTCGATCGAACCCAGGTTAAGAACCACTGCACTAATGTTATCCAACTGGATATTCGCCGAATTTAAATGTTAACCTCAAATTCAATGAGATAATTAACAATGTTCTTTGTTAATTAATTAACAATGTGTTTTGTTGTTTGTTTTTTTTTTGTGTGGCGTGCAGAATGATTCAACGTCTATATCTAGACCAGAAATTTTTCTCGTGGAATCGTGTGGAGCACAGTTTAGTGCCGACATAAGCAGCGAGGGCATCAAAGCTAAAAATACGTGAGTGTTTCTTGCTGTTAGGGGTCGTCCATAAATGACGTCACACTCGTAGGGGGGAGGGGATCCGTAGTTTTGTGAGCGGGAGGGGAGGGTTTAGATGGTGGGACGTCACACTTTTGCATTATAAAACAGAAATGTTAGAAAACGAATTTTAGCCGTTATTTCGCGTTTTAGAAAACGGTTTTAATAAATTGTAAAAGGAATTGATTAAAACATCCTATTTTGAGAGAGTTCAGACAAGATTTTGGAAACATATCGATGTTTTAAGAAAAATTCTACTGCAATTTTGAGGGAGGGTTGTAGGCTGAGGTGTGACGTCATAATAGGGGGGTCTGCGTTTTTTGAAGATGTGTGACGAAAGGGAGGGGAGGAGGTAAAAATCGTCAAAAAAGCGTGACGTCATTTATGGATGACCCCCCCCCCCCCCCTTAGGTAAAACTAAAAATTATCCACTGTGAAGTGTTTTTAATCAGCATGGTATATTGTGCTAAATGGGGGTAGTAGTGGTATAAAATATAGCGACGTGTGTACACTGATTTTAATTGGTTAACTTCTATATTGTAATACTGATTAAGTAAATACCACGGACCGCTGGCTTAAAATTTGTTGATTTAATATTAGGCTTAATAAAGAAAATAACACGCTGTTTTTTTTTTTTTTCTATTTGACGTAGTTCCAATTATTTATTCTTAAAATGCCTTCAATTTTTATAGCAAATTGTGACGTGGTTTTGTGAGGGGAAATGATGGCCTAGAAATTTTATTGAATAAGTCAGGGGATGGTATTTGAAAATGTTACATAGCGTTATATGTGGTGAGTTGTATAGGCAGCAGTGGCGTAGGCAGGGGGGGTTAGGGGGGGGTCAGAACCCCCCCCCCCCCATAGACCCCTCGGTATATATATATAAAGTATAAGGGGGGGTGCAAATCGAAAGTTTGAGGGGGGGTGCAAATCGAAAGTTTGAGGGGGGGGGGGTGCAAATCGAAAGTTTGAGGGGGGTGCAAATCGAAAGTTTGAGGGGGGGGGGTGCAAATCGAAAGTTTGAGGGGGGGTGCAAATCGAAAGTTTGAGGGGGGTGCAAATCGAAAGTTTGAGGGGGGGTGCAAATCGAAAGTTTGTCCCCGGGTAAAATTGGAAACCCCCCCCTTGAGACGATCCTGGCTACGCCACTGATAGGCAGTGTCATGTGTTGTGTAGTACATAAGGTGGGTTGAGTAGATCTGTGCCGGTGTCCACTAATGAAGTAGATGTGCCAACACAAGGAGGATATTCTAACCTGTAGGGTTCTCAAAACTTATTTCATTGAGTCTGAAAGTATGTAGTTGACCAAATCAACTTTTGGGTAGAAATACCAAACAAAAACGATGTGGTCTAATGGTAGAGCTTTTGTCTGCTAGCCCGAACGTATCGAGTTTGGACCCAGGTTCGTACTTGTGACTTTAGGACGTCCATGAGTCCACCCAGCTAAGATGGGTACCTGGCTTAGGTTGGGGAAAAATAAAGGCGAATAGACAAAGTGATGAACATACCATCCCTTCATATGTCAAGGTCAGGAAACATGAACTCTAATTCATCTTCCCAATAGAAATGGCACCACCTTACTTTACTTAACAAAAAATAGTTTTCTACGTATTAATACATTCTTTCTTTGTATCCTATGTGTCCAAACAGAGCTGGGATAAAACCATTCAAGCCAGAAGGTCCAGTTGGGGCCACATCTAACCAATATGCCAGGTTTTTGGACATCAACCACCACACTGAAGCTTCCGCCACTGAAGGTGTGTTCAAATAAACTTTACATTCTCTTCACTAACTAATGGCTCATTACGTTTTTAGCACACCCACATAATTATATGGGGGATATATATATATATATATATATATATATATATATGTATGTATATATATATATATATATATATATATATATATATATATATATATATATATATATAATATATATATATATTATATATATATATTATATATATATATATATATATATATATATATATATATATATATATATATATATATGTGTGTGTGTGTGTGTGTGTGTGTGTGTGCGTGCGTGCGTGTGTGTGTGTGTGTATATGCATAGGCCTATATATACACAGAGAGAGAAAGAGGGGGGGGGAGGGGCAGGCTTAAATAGGCTAATACTATTTATATGAAAAGTATATAATGCTTTTGATGTCTCCAATTTTATAAAACAGAATAGTAATATTTTTTTTCTGTAAGGCATTTAATTTTTTTTTTAAAATAACACTAAAGGCTTTCTGCCCAGCTATTTACTTGTAATGTACCTAAAACAAAATACATTGTATTTTAATTAGACAACTTGATATTTTGATTTAAAATTACTAAACTAAAGCATGATTGATTACATGTTTATAACGAAATAGAGCAATTTGAAGAAGTCTATGAAGAAATCGATGCCGTTAAGAAGATTTATTCAAATGAAAACACTAAAGGTGGATATACTTCATATTTAATTTTTCATCAAAATTGTGTGATACATTTAATAATTATCTTTTAAACAATAATAGACCTTTATTTAAAAGACAAAATCTATTTTTTCAATAAGTTTATTAGATAAGTCTTTAACATTAAAAATGATCACGAATGTATTTTTCTTTCTTATGTTAATCAAATAAAATTAGCTTCAATGTCTGGTCATTAAAAAAATTAATTCAACATGTTTATGTGTTTTTATGAATATTTTTCAGCTAAAAACGACAAAGCTTTTAAAACAAGTCAAGATAACAAGGTCTTCAAGGAGCCAGAAAATTATTATCTTCAACCACTTCAGTAGCTCCTGGTGTATGTGGCATTTCCAGAATTTTTTCTGGGGAAATGGTGGAAGCAGAGCATTCAAAATGTTTGTCCGTAGATATTTTGAGGATACAGAAGGAAGAAAGCGATAAGCGCCCTAACACCCCCGCATCTTGCCTATGCTATTCCCTGATAGAGATGCTGCTAAAGCTTTGACTTACTGAAATTTCTTGCCTCTCCGCGCTTACAAATGACAAACAATATGTTCCACAAAAACTTTTCACATTTACAAAGTGTACATTATACGTTTCACTGGGGTGTTGTTGTTCTATCTGAAAATTTGCTTTTTATATTTGTATCTTTGTAATGTAGTTTTATAATTTAAAAAAACATTATATATACATATCAATATCATATGTGACATTGTAACACAAAACCTCTGAATATAAGAATATAAGTCATACAAGTTTTGTTAATGAACAGACATGTATTAGTTGCAATAATATGTAACCATGAATGAAATTCCCCAACAGTAATTTAAACTGATGCATACAAAAATGTTGGTGTTACTGAGAAGATTCTGATTTTTTATTATTAAATCAAAAAGTTTTAAATATATTCAACAACTTTGTAATTTAGTTAATCTTTTACGGACTAAATCAAGGTTATATTTTCATGTACTAAACCCTATAATATCTCTGTAACATTGGCTGACCTAATATATATATATATATATATATATATATATATATATATATATATATATATATATATATATATATATATATATATATATATATATATATATATATATATAACGTTCAAACGGATTCTGTGCCTTTATAATTATTTAAATAGTAGTGTATAATTTATTTTCTAGTTTTTAGTGCATTATTACATAAAAGCTTGCTATTAAAACGTTTTTTATGAAAAAAAAATTCAGTACTTTAAAATTTTTAAATTTACAATAGAGTTGCATGACTAAAAAATTCAGTACTTTAAAATTTTTAAATTTACAATAGAGTTGCATGACTAAAAAATTCAGTACTTTAAAATTTTTAAATTTACAATAGAGTTGCATGACTAAAAACCATGAGCACCTAATGAACGTGATGACGCGTGTCTAATAGTGCGGAATCGTTTGATAAGACAGCCTACTAATTTGGACACATTTTAATTAATTCATAAAAAATTAACCAGGCCACCAATTAAGTCAGATTTAATGTCATGTTGCATTGTCTTCATGTCTTGACCCACGAGCCAACGTGAAACAAATCTGTCAGTTAGAAGTGTCTGAAATTTCGCTCGGGCGATTTCGATCTAGACAGACAGACAGACGACTGATGACAGAGACAGTGAGTTAAATAAAAGCTTGTAAAATGCTCCAGGAAAGGGTTGTGCGGGGGAAAAAATTAAATTTCGGGCACCAATGGCAGAAAAACTCCCCCGAGGGCACCAGAATAAAAATAAAATACTTAAAAAAAAACTTTTTAAAAAACCACGTTTTTCTTGTGGACTAAAAAGTAGAAAATAACTATTTACATACATTTGATGACAAAAAAACGTGGGTACGTTCACCATCAAATTTCCCGACCCATCTGCCCGACCCACGTTTTTTGTCATCAAATGTATGTAAATAGTTATTTTCTACTTTTTAGTCCACAAGAAAAACGTGGTTTTTTAAAAAGTTTTTTTTTAAGTATTTTATTTTCTCCTTTTTAGTCCGTTGCTACACATGAAAAACGTGGTTTTTAAAAAGTTTTTTATATAGTTTATTTTCTACTTTATCTAATCACTTGATTAAGTATGACTTGACTAAGTGTTTTTAAATACACGGACTAAAAAAATCTTGAGCGACCGATACGCTTTAAACAGAGAAAGGGTGTAATTTACGTTGCTGGCGTGGAGATCTACTCACGAATCACGTGATCAAATCTCCCATAAACAAACAAATAAACGCGAAGCTGAGTTAAGGAAAAACGTGTTTATGTGTATTTTAGCATGCCCAGCGTACCAACCGTGTCACCGTTAACAATGTGTTACCGTGTCCGTTCTCCTTTTTAGTCCGTTGCTACACATAAAAACGTGGTTTTTTAAAAAGTTTTTTTTAAGTATTTTATTTTCTCCTTTTTAGTCCGTTGCTACACATGAAAAACGTGGTTTTTAAAAAAGTGTTTATAAATACACGGACTAAAAAAATCTTGAGCGACCAGGATTCGAACCTGGGTTGTCGCGGCCACAACGCGAAGTACTAACCACTATACGATCACGGCCAGCGCGCTCACATCGATTGGGGCCGAAGTAACTGTGTCAATAGGCCTCAAGTCTTGTCGGTATCTTTAGAAATCATGTCCTCAATTTTATGGTCCTTGGGGCGTAATTAAATTAAGCTAATTACGGTCACTAATTGCTAGTTTTTATGATTGCATCTGAAATTGTTAGGCGAAAGTAGCATGCATGCCAAATTTCAGGTCTCTAGAGCAATCAGAAGTGGGCTAATTTTCGATGTCAATTTTAACAACAAACAAACAAACGCGAAGCTGAGTTAAGAAAAACGTGTTAATAATAATAACGAATATTTATGATTTAGGAATATTCAGGGGAATTAACCAGGCTTCGATTTATTTTTGAAAAAAATATTAACTTGGTTGTTTCTCTTTGTCCATAAAAATTCTAAAACAAAGACCAGGCCGGGAATACCGTTCTAAAAATAATGATTAGTAATACCTATCGTATAAATCTTGAGTTATATTTCTAATAATAGCGATTGGTAATCTATCTATACATTATACATATAAAAATGAAAGTATGCCTGTTTGTCTGTGTGTTAGTCATTCAAGCATTACTCAACCTTTGAGAATAAATTATTTATTTTCTATATAAATTCCAATTAATGGGGGTGGGGGTTGGACTTTCTTCGGGGGGGGGGGGGGGGGGGGAGGGTGAAGAAACGCCTGGAAGAAACTCTGGATGTAAAACTCCACGCTTCTTTCTTTTTTTTTAAATCACAATTTAACGTAGGCGATATTTTCCTTTGAGCAAGCCAACATCTAGTAGTCTATCATCATTGTTTACGATTTTAAATAACAATAGCACAAGTAACTTTTTATTTTGTTTTATTTTTTTAACGAGTTGAGGTAAGTATTACCTTAAATATAACTAATATAAATAACTATAAAGAAAAGCGTTTGTGACTATATTATCCCTTAGCCATTTTATACCCATATTATACCCGTTACACGTGAATCCTAGGCCTGTTTATTTAAATGTTATACTTGTTGGAGAAAAAAAAAATAATTAAAAAATAATTATTGGTCAAAACGAATCGTGCTTTACTTCACGTTGGATGAAATTAGTGAAAAAGCAAAGAAGTAACTAAATAGCTAAAAATCCAACACATTTAATACCAATACCTGTTTAAAAATTTTAAACCAAATTATATACATTATTATTCAACACAACACCATTTAAAAAATGCTTACACTGATTTAAGAGACTAAAGAGATTCCGTTAAAAAGTTATGGAAAAAAATTCCGGGCTAGGTTGACACACTGGGTGGGGTTAAAACTCACATTGTATTGCTGTGACAACATGATGATTTTTTGGTTTTGTAAGTTTTAATAATATGAAAGGTTTTAATTAAATTAACATAAGGTATGTTTACTGATGGTCGTATTCTGCTTGTTTTATCAGAGGCGTAGCGAATCCATCCGGCGCCCGGGGACGAGATTTCAATTTGGCGCCCCCCCCCATATATATATATATATATATATATATATATATATATATATATATATATATATATATATATATATATATATATATATATATATATAGGGTTGCCAGGTGTCCAGTTTTGAACTGGACAGTCCAGTATTTGAGCAGACTGTCCAGGATAAAATAAATATAAATACTGGACAAGTATATGAATAATACTCTGTTACCCCCCTTCTGCTTTGCGGCATACCTGAGAAGGGATGGATGGAAAGGTGTCCAGTATTTTCGGAAAAGGTATCTGGCAACCCTATATATATACATATATATATATATATATATATATATATATATATATATATATATATATATATATATATATATATATATATATGCCTTAAATCATATATATTCTTCTTATATTTAAATCTGTGTTTGATTGTTTGAGTTTTTACATTGTAATATCTACTGATCTTTTTTAATAAGCTTAATAAATTGTTTCTGCTATCATGTTAAAAAATGTAACGGTGTGGGGTGAAAAATTAATAAAACCGTTGTAAATCAATTTTTTGTTCATTTTTTTCTTATTTAAGGGAGGTAATTGTTTGGTTTTTCTACAAAAACTATTATTTTATGAGTTGACGTTCCTGTGCCGACACCTGTAGTGCGACAGACGAGCAGCACACGGCGGGTGGAGAATCATGGCGGTCACACACTCGCGGCGCCGTGTGACACGGACACGCCGGGAACGAGAGAGAAATGGGCGGTGGCGGAGCAGACGAAAATTTCCCCAAGTCGTGTCGCTTTTGAGACGGAAACCTAACCGTCGTCACCCATTTGGCCTGGTGAGTTTTAAACTTCATTTAATCTTAATCTAGGGCAGGGATTTGTGATAAAGATTAACAATAACATTGACTGATAACGATCATAGCATAGATAGACTTGATCAATGAGATTTTAATATTATCTTACTCTAGCAGACGGACTAAGGTACCCTATCCATTGATAAATAAGGGCCTTTCAAGTGAAGTAGGTCGAGTGAACTAGAATTCCGGGGTGAAAGATTTTGCGATATGGAAATTAATTTATGAGAAATTTAAAAGGAGGATAGTTAGAAAAATATTGTTTTTATTATTATTATTAATTAGGTTACAATAAGTTTAAACTTTCGTTGTAGATGAAATATATTTTTAGCAGCATGCCATAACAATGATTCAATAAGCTCGTACCGATAGGCCTAGCCTACACATTTTAAGTGGGAAAAGCTCAGTAAACTAACACCAGTGAATGAAGTGTTGGCTTTATACTTATACTTATAGATGTCTAGGCCTGGTTTTTATAAACTGTTCTCCATATATAATGACAAAAGGCCTATGATTTTCATATATTATTGTATAAAACTAGACTCTATCCCCTATGGTTGTATTACAATTTGTGAGCCGGGGGATTTAAACGTGATTGTATAAAGAGTAATTCTACATCAGTTAGCCTTGGTTATCTACAGAATAATGAACGCGTCAATTTTATGTTGGACGTGCTTCTTGGCTTTTCATTTTTTTTTCTTTTTTTTTTCGTTCTCGGTGCCGTGGGACTTTTCTTTTTCGTTCCGAAATTAATGGGAGTTATTTTAGAGGATGAGCAAATCGATTGTGGGGGGGGGGGGGGTGGAGATAATGAGTCATTGTGTAGTTATGTGTGTAGAAACTGTGTGTGGTTTAAAATATTTAAAAAACTAATCATCATTATAAAATTATTGTGTCTATTGTGTATGAACTCCAAGACTTTGTGCCAGATTTAAATGACCATCATATAATTATTGTGACAACATATCCCATTTGGTGATGTTTTTGTTTTGTTTTTATTTTTTTTGTTGTTGTTTTTTGTTATGTCTTTAACGTAACGTGTTTACTAATCAGTGTCAGGTCCCTAATTAAAGTAGCCGTAATTTAAAGGTATCCGTTTAGCTATTTGAAGACAAGCGACATTAGGAGACAA